AAGGATAGATGGATGGATGTACGGACAATGGATGGATGATGTAAGGATGGATGGATGGATGGATGGACGATGGATGGATTATGTAAGGATGGATGGATGGATGGATGGATGAATGGATGGATGGATGGATGATGGATGGATGGACGATGGATGGATGGATGGATGGATGGCTGGATGGATGGATGGATGATATACAGATGGATGGATGGATGGATGGATGGATGGATGATGTACAGATGGGTGGATGATGTAAGGATGGATGGATGATGTAAGGATGGATGGTGGATGGATGGATGATGTAAGGATGGATGGATGATGGATGATGGATGGATGGATTTGATGTTTTCTTAATTAAGATGAATTAGTTAATCATAATAAATGGATGGATGGATGGATGGATGGATGGATGGATGGATGGATGGATGGATAATGGATGGATGGATGGATGGATGGATGGATAATGGATGGATGGATGGATGGATGGATGGATAATGGATGGATGGATGGATGGATAATGGATGGATGGATGATGTAAGGATGGATGGATGATGTAAGGATGGATGGATGGATGGTGGATGGATGGATGATGTAAGGATGGATGGATGATGGATGATGGATGGATGGATTTGATGTTTTCTTAATTAAGATGAATTTGTTAATTATAATAAATGGATGGATGGATGGATGGATGGATGGATGGATGGATGGATGGATGGATGGATGGATGGATGGATGGATAATGGATGGATGGATGGATGGATGGATGGATGGATGGATGGATGGATGGAATGTATAGATAATGGATGGATGGATGGATGGATGGATGGATGGATGGATAATGGATGGATGGATGGATGGATGGATGGATAATGGATGGATGGATGATGTAAGGATGGATGGATGATGTAAGGATGGATGGATGGATGGTGGATGGATGGATGATGTAAGGATGGATGGATTTGATGTTTTATTAATTAAGATGAATTAGTTAATTATAATGGATGGATGGATGATGTAAGGATGGATGGATGGATGGATAGATGGATGATGTAAGGATGGATGGATGATGGATGGATGGATTTGATGTTTTCTTAATTAAGATGAATTAGTTAATTATAATGGATGGATGGATGATGTAAGGATGGATGGATGGATAGATGGATGATGTAAGGATGGATGGATGGATGGATGGATGGATGGATGGATGGATGGATGGATGGATGGATGGATGGATGGATGGATGATGTACAGATGGATGGATGATGTAAGGATGGATGGATGATGTAAGGATGGATGGTGGATGGATGGATGATGTAAGGATGGATGGATGATGGATGATGGATGGATGGATTTGATGTTTTCTTAATTAAGATGAATTAGTTAATCATAATAAATGGATGGATGGATGGATGGATGGATGGATGGATAATGGATGGATGGATGGATGGATGGATGGATGGATGGATAATGGATGGATGGATGGATGGATGGATGGATAATGGATGGATGGATGGATGGATAATGGATGGATGGATGATGTAAGGATGGATGGATGATGTAAGGATGGATGGATGGATGGTGGATGGATGGATGATGTAAGGATGGATGGATGATGGATGATGGATGGATGGATTTGATGTTTTCTTAATTAAGATGAATTTGTTAATTATAATAAATGGATGGATGGATGGATGGATGGATGGATGGATGGATGGATGGATGGATGGATGGATAATGGATGGATGGATGGATGGATGGATGGATGGATGGATGGATGGATGGATAGATAATGGATGGATGGATGGATGGATGGATGGATAATGGATGGATGGATGGATGGATAATGGATGGATGGATGATGTAAGGATGGATGGATGATGTAAGGATGGATGGATGGATGGTGGATGGATGGATGATGTAAGGATGGATGGATTTGATGTTTTATTAATTAAGATGAATTAGTTAATTATAATGGATGGATGGATGATGTAAGGATGGATGGATGGATGGATAGATGGATGATGTAAGGATGGATGGATGATGGATGGATGGATTTGATGTTTTCTTAATTAAGATGAATTAGTTAATTATAATGGATGGATGGATGATGTAAGGATGGATGGATGGATAGATGGATGATGTAAGGATGGATGGATGGATGGATGGATGGATTTGATGTTTTCTTAATTAAGATGAATTTGTTAATTATAATAAATGGATGGATGGATGGATGGATGGATGGATGGATGGATGGATGGATGGATGGATGGATGGATGGATGGATAATGGATGGATGGATGGATGGATGGATGGATGGATGGATGGATGGATGGATGGATGGATAGATAATGGATGGATGGATGGATGGATGGATGGATGGATAATGGATGGATGGATGGATGGATGGATAATGGATGGATGGATGATGTAAGGATGGATGGATGATGTAAGGATGGATGGATGGATGGTGGATGGATGGATGATGTAAGGATGGATGGATTTGATGTTTTATTAATTAAGATGAATTAGTTAATTATAATGGATGGATGGATGATGTAAGGATGGATGGATGGATGGATGGATGGATGGATGGATGGATAGATGGATGATGTAAGGATGGATGGATGATGGATGGATGGATTTGATGTTTTCTTAATTAAGATGAATTAGTTAATTATAATGGATGGATGGATGATGTAAGGATGGATGGATGGATAGATGGATGATGTAAGGATGGATGGATGGATGGATTTGATGTTTTCTTAATTAAGATGAATTAGTTAATTATAATGGATGGATGGATGATGTAAGGATGGATGGATGATGGATGGATGGATGGATGGATGGATAGATGGATGATGTAAGGATGGATGGATGATGGATGGATGGATTTGATGTTTTCTTAATTAAGATGAATTAGTTAATTATAATGGATGGATGGATGGATGGATGGATGGATGGATGGAAGATGTAAGGATAGATGGATGATGTAAGGATGGATGGATGCATGGATGGATGGATGGATGATGTAAGGATGGACGGATGGATGGATGGATGGATGGATGGATGGATGGATGGATGGATGATGTAAGGATAGATGGATGATGTAAGGATGGATGGATGGATGGATGCATGGATGGATGATAGATGGATGGATGATGTAAGGATAGATGGATGGATGGATGGACAATGGATGGATGATGTAAGGATGGATGGATGGATGGATGGATGGATGGATGGATGGATGGATGGATGGATGATGTAAGGATAGATGGATGATGTAAGGATGGATGGATGGATGGATGCATGGATGGATGATAGATGGATGGATGATGTAAGGATAGATGGATGGATGGATGGACAATGGATGGATGATGTAAGGATGGATGGATGGATGGATGGATGGATGGATGATGTACAGATGGATGGATGGATGGACGATGGATGGATGATGTAAGGATGGATGGATGGATGGATGGATGGCTGGATGGATGGATGGATGGATGGATGGATGGATGGATGGATGGATGATGTACAGATGGATGGATGGATGGATGGATGGATGATGTACAGATGGGTGGATAATGGATGGATGGATGGATGGATGGATGGATGATGTACAGATGGGTGGATGATGGATTGATGGATGGATGGATGGATGATGTAAGGATGGATGGATGGATGGATGAAGTACAGATGGATGGATGGATGGATGGATGGATGGATCGACATAATTTAGATATTTTTGGCTAAACTGTAATGTTTGCACTGAAACAAACTGTTCAAAAAATTATTTAAACATGCATTTAAACTTAAATAACCATGTTTTATAGTTGTCTCAAGAGGTAAACACTTTGAAATATTTATAACCAAATAACTAGCTATTTTTCTAAATGGTTAATATATTTGCACACAAAAAAAAGTGAATCCCTTTATTCTCCCACATAGGGGAAATTCACTCTCTGCATTTTAACCCATCCCCTTTTTAAGCAGTGGGCTGCCATTGTGTGGCGCCTGGGCAGCACTGTGCGGTTAAGGGTTTAGCTCAGGAGTGGAGGCTGTGGGGATCCAAGCGGATACTTGCCACCTTCTCATAGCCCAAGCACACTGCTCTAACCCACCAGGCCAACACTCCCAATGCTAAATAATTGTATGGAGTTAATATAAAAGAGAAATCTGCTACTTTAACAAGTAGTCAATTTAATGCACTTTGATCCGTTGAGGTAAAAGACCAAAGCCATGCCAAACACTTGTTGATCTGCACACTTGTAACTTGCTTGTAATACAACTTGAAAGATAAAAAAGATCCAAGGAGTGTTTATTAACCCTATAAAGTTCAAACCACCTCCCAAACACTCACAGACACTCTTATAAAAAAAAAAACCAAGGAGCTGAGCTGGTTGACACCTTGTTTGCAGTCATATTCTGCACTCTTCCCCCCACTGTTAGGCTCCACAGGATCCTGTTCTCTCTCCCACTCATGAAATCGTGCCTGCAAGCCTCACGCTCCCATATGCTCGCTCATGTTTTATTATGCACACAGAATCAGCATCAAACACTCACACATTCAAACACAGATGTTTTTACATCTCTCTGAGCCAGTTTTATCCCCTTTCAAAGAACACATGTGGTCATGTTTATTTCATACTGCTCCTGTGTTACAATGTTACTGACCACTCAGTTATATTACACACAGTCACCTACCGACTTGACAGGTTCAGGAGCTGCATTTACAAAGATGCTGCCTCCTTGTTTCATTAAAAAGTGATCAATTTGGGCCAGAAGATTTTTTTTTCTTACTTTCCAAAATTATAACACAGACTACTGTATGTATTTTATCTTTTTAAGTGTAATTTGTTGTATTTGCCTTATATTGCCCTTGACTTTTCTGCTATTTTTATCGTGGCTTTCCCATTTTTTTCAAATTATTTTGTAAGCTTCTCCAACGGTGTTCTTTTTTTTTTTTTTTCTTACCTTTCTGACTGTTTCTCGGCAAACAGGAGGTACTGCCAGACAGGAAGAGAGTGACGACCAGGAGCTATCTCCCCATCACTCCAGTTGACACCGACAGCGGCAGCAATTTCACTTGTGTGGCCAGCAATCCAGCGGTGCCAATGGGCAAAAGAGCCACTGTCACTCTCAACATCCACCGTAGGTTACTGCTCTCCTCTATGAGATTGCCAAGTCAGTTTTTGCATTTTGCTTTACTTTGGTTGAGCTTACCATTTTGAACTTATTTGTAAATTATTTAGCTCACAACGTAAAAAGAGACCTTGAATCGCCACTCAGCCTTATGCTATAAAAACGTAATAATCTTTTTGATTAATTTGATAAAGAATACAGTAAGAACATATCTAATTAATTGAAATCTGAAACTTGAAATTCTGTATGTATTTTTAAATTGTTCTTTCAAAAAACTATGTTATTTTTGTAAATGATCCTGAAATCATCTTTTCACTCTAAAATTATTTTTTTATTAGATTAGCATGACGTCTCTGTGAATAGGCTACATATAACCAATCATTTAGTTTATACTTATTTTAGTTATTGGGTTAATAGAAAATGTTTTGTCTTTATAAACCAGATTAGATCAAATTATTGAAAACCCAAACAATGAGTTCTATATTTAAGGTTATACTAAATGTATACTTTTAAATATATGTTTAAAGTTAATAAATTGTCGATGACTTGTTCACATTTTTTTAGGATATAAATGCTGCACAAAATAACACAGAGACTCATTCCACATAGCCACAATGCACTGGGCTGGAGGAAGAGGAAAGTTTATGTTGCCTCTCAGCACAGTCAGCAACATCATAAGGGCAGTAAAGCTGCAACTGAGAGACTCTTACGGATTCAAAACAATAAAGCAGCTAGATGCTATCTGAATGACAGGTTGTTTGAAACTGATGCCAGAAAAAAAAGCACTTTCTGCCCTACAATCAAAAACTTAAGCATTTGGATTATGGAGTAAATTCTACTGGGACTTCAACACGAGCTATGAGATTTTGTCAGATGAGACTAAGACTGAGTTGGCAACAAACGTTTATGCTGGTCTGCTGTAGAAAATCTCCAAACACTTACTGCGCTGAAGTATCTGTAATGACATGGGTCTTCTTCTCTGTCTTTCAGCAGGATAATGATTAAAAAGCATATGGCCAAATTAACATTTTAATACATACATAATCAACCTTCTTCCATCTAGGGTGAGTCGGAAAGAGGAGATGAGCCATTTGTACACTACTAACTGGAAATTTAAGACCAGTTTAAGATTTTGCATTTTGTACTGTCAGGTCTTAAGAAGGTTCTAAGTCAAGCTTCAAAACAAAAAAGAAGAAATGGGAACAAGAGACCAAAAGTTCTGTGCAGGAAATTAATTGAAAACAACAAATTAACTCAAATAATCTGTTCATCAGCTGATCAAATGTTTAAGACCACAGTCTTTAAAAGCCAAAATATGTGCAAAGATTAAGATTCACTGTAATTTCCTGTCAAGTAATCCCACTGTAAAGATCTCCTGATGGCAGAGGCAACAAAACTTACTGTCTTAAAGGAAAAGTCCGGTCAGTGTGGAAAGAACAATGGATCATTATTTATACCTAAAACTAACATGTTCACAGTGATTTAATCAATTTAGCGTTAATTAGTAAATAAAATGAAAACAATAATTTTCGTCACTGAATCACTGAGTCCGGGAGCAGCCATCTTTGCCCAAATATAGTAACACCTCCCTCCTGACATCTTCCAGCAGTGACGTCACGGTGCAGTAAGCCTAGCGCCATTCTCCCCGCTTTACAAGCAAAACCAGTTGGAACTATTAGACACGTCTGCAATCAACAACAATTATTAAAGATTTCCAGAGGACTTCACTATTGAAATTCATCAGTGCTATAGTTAAAATGACAATGCCCACGTACATGGCAGTTGGATGTTGTAATACATCGGGTAAAAGTGAAAAATTCATGATATTTAATGACCTTCCATGGAAGGTTACTGCTTTCCTGGTTATTGGATTGCCAACTTGAAGAGGGAGGATTTGCCATTGAACTTCTGGCCAGAGAAAAAACATGTAATATGTAGCCATCATTTAAAAGAGGAATGTTTTCAAGATGACTTGGATAATTACATCATCTACCCATCTGTACTCCATCCATCCATCCATCCATCCATCCATCCATCATAAATAAATCTTAATCTTTTTCTCTGCAGATCCTCCTACAGTGACCTTGTCCATCGAACCTCGCTCTGTCCTGGAGGGAGAAAGAGTCACCTTCACCTGCCAGGCCACAGCCAATCCACCCATTATGGGCTACAGGTTTGATAGATGACAATTCTCATGCTTATATGCACTACTAAACAACAATTTATGTGATTATCCCGCGGAAAAACTAAAGTCTGATTATGTAACTGACCTAGTATTCAAACCTCTTAAAAAATTTATTTGATTGACTGTCATCAAGCAGTGAATGCAACTTTACATTTTTAAGTTTGGAACAGTTAAGCCAACTCAGTAACTATACACGAGGGAAGCAAGTCAAAATTCCAAAGGGATGGAGCCCTTCGTCTGTTTCAATTAGCATGTTTTCAAAACAAAAACAAGGCTTTGTTGGGCTACTGTGTAAAACCTCGACCTCAATGCTATTTCTGACATTTTGAATTGAAAAAGCTTCTTGCATGGGAAGTAAAACTTCTTTAAACCTGGAAACAAAGTCTAGTGGATTGTTTTTAATTTTCCTTTTTTTGGAACAGTCAGTTATCTTTGTATCTGTTTCATGTTATCCTATTTTTTAAATGTAGGCAGAGTGGTCTGCTGTTTGATATCTTTTAATCTACTTTGTTTTATCAGACAGGTTCTCTTTAAGTGGCTTTTTTGATTCTACAGGTGAGCCAGTGTGGATAAGAAAATTTCTTTACATGGGACCACGTTGGTGTGGATAGTATATTCCTTCAATAAATTAATCCTCATTTGTAAACAGCATTGTTCAATTAATAAAAGTTGTCTGCTGAGTAAATTACAAACCGGAAATATGTGTAAGGAGAAAATATGCCACTTAAAATGTAAGACTCTCTTCCATACATTGTGGCCTTAAGGTCTAAGTTTAACTCATAATGTATCTGTGTTTGGCTGTAATTGTAGCTCAAGATGTGAGGAAGGGTTTGATCTTGGTGGGCCTGCAGTGCAACATTAGCAGCCCGATCAGATGATCAATGCCAATGGGCTTTCTTTCATCTGCTCGTCTGTGGAGCGGCTCCTGAATCTTAATACTGCTTAGAGAACAAAATTTGCGAAAGTATTGAACATTTTGTGTAGTCAAACAGAGACTTTTATCGTAAGCGACATCTGTGAAGCACTGAAGGTGCAAAAAAAAGGCTGAGGTCTGAAAGTTTATCAGAGAGGGTCCTGATATGGGAAGACTGCCAGGTACTTAGGCGCAGAGCCTACTGAATGTGCATTAAAATGTCATTCTGTGGAGAATGTGCAATATGGTGATATGATTTTCAGCTAGATATTTGGCAAGCAACCATACGGATAACAAGAATTATTCTAATTTATTACAGATTTTCCCCTGAGCACCGGAATCATCTTCATGGAGAACATAAAAAAATCCCACATTTGTATCTCTACACAGGCAAGATTGGCTTTTGAAATGTGAAAGGGTGTTGTGGTTTTCCTCTTTCAGGTGGGCTAAAGGTGGTGTGCTGCTGGAGGGGGCCAGGGAGAGCGTATTTGTCACCACGGCTGATCATTCATTCTTCACCGAGCCCGTGTCGTGTCAAGTGTTTAACGCAGTGGGGAGCACCAACGTCAGCATTCTCGTGGATGTGCACTGTGAGTCAATTGCGAACAGTTGTTTGCTGTGAAGAACAATAAAGATGTGTTTCACCTATACGACATCAAGTCACATTGGAGTCCAACATCAATAAATAACGAGTTGCGGACTAACCACATGACTTTTGAAGTCATCAACTTGGTTATTCTTACTGCATTTAATTTGTCTCTTCGATAAAGAAATACCATAAACCAAATATGGAAGTTTAGGTTTAACTCCTATAGAGTTCAATTTAACACTTTTAAAGCATCCATATTGTTTCACACAAGATTGAGCTAGAACAACATCTTTTAAAGTGTTAAAAAGGGACAACATTCCTAAAAGATGAGTATCAACAGTTATCAGTATTTTATTTTTCTAACACTAGTAAACATTCACCCATTCGTATACACATTCACACACTGATGGTGGAGAGCTACATTTTAGCCACAGCTGCACTGGGGATCACTGACAGAAGTAAGGCTGCCGTACACTAGCGCCATCAGACCCTCTGACCACAATCAGTAGACAATGCAGGTTAGTTTTGTCACCCAAGTACAGTAAAAAATGGTTAAGATGGATAGAGATTGGATTTAAACTTCTGCATCCAAAAATCTGCAAGACAAATGTCTCCATCCTAAGCCACTATCTCCCTATAATTCAATTCAATTCAGTTTACTTCTATAGCGCCAATTCACAACACATCTCAAGGCACTTTACAGTTCACCAGATCATGCAGTCAGATTGATTCAAAGTTTTCTATCTAAGGAAAACCAGTTGATTGCATCGACTCATTGACTCAAATACAACCCCTCACACTAAGCATGCTTGTAGCGACAGTGGAGAGGAAAAACTCAATTTTAACAGAAAGAAACCTCCAGCAGAACCAGGCTCAGTGTGAGCAGCCATCTGCTGAGGCCGACTGGGGTTCAAGGAGACAGAAGCAGAGATACAAAACTATAGAGGTGGTATTCAACTGGCATTTAAACACATTTTAAATGTTGCTGAAATAACATCACTTTAAGAAAAACATTAACAGCATTGAAATAGTTGAATAATTGAAAACAGTTGAAATAGGGTTGAGATTATTTCAACCTTGATTTTGATGTTTGCCAAATTTGTGACATTGAAACAAAATTCATTGGTTGTCCAATAAATCTATCTGGCATTGATTCGATGGTGACTAGACTTTACAATGCTAGCTGATTAATTCACACAACCACAGCTCTGAAGTCTGCTATTGTTGTTGTTAGCAGATGTCTCTACACTAACCCTACAGAAAACAGGAGATTACACCTCTGGGCCAACCCTGGCTCTCTACTCAATCACTATCATGTGTAAACTAACAATGCCATTCATTAAGACTTGTCTTCTGCTGCTCTCCGACTCTGGGAGTCATCCTGCTCTTCTTGCAAACACGAAACAGATTTGTCAGAATTCTGTTAGACATCCTGCTAACACTTAGGGTGTGTTTTAAGGTCCTTAAACATGCAAACATGTTTGTATACCCAGAGCATATCTTTAAAGAAGGCAAAAATTCATTTGTGTTGCAATTCAACAGACGGGGCCTGCAAACATTTTTTTTTTCAGTGTGAGCTTTTATCAATATACAGATCATATTATAATGACCAAATTGTCCAAATTCATGAATAAAGGCTTTCCAAAAATAAAGGATTCCCCTTGTCCAAAGCGTTTTCCAAATCTGAAAATAAACTGTGTTTAGCAGATGTAAGGGTTTCTTTTTTTTATCAGTTGTGAAAGTAAGATGCCAACTAACACGCAAAGATTTCTCCAGTCATTGTGGGCTTGAATGAGTCACTGGTAAAATGCCTGACATTGGAGAGTGGGCAAGAAATAATGCAGTTATTAAACACTTTATGCAGTTTAACAAAATGAAAAAAATACTAAATTTAAATATCAGGGCATGCTTAAATAAGGAATATGTTCCTATCTTTGAAAGTCTCACTTTGACCCCTTAAAAAATAATTGTTTTCACTGTACACGAAAGTAAGTATTTTTCTCTTCTAACCCTTTTAACAATTAAGGAATATGGCTTGTCTATTCATCTAGCTTCAGGGTTGTTTTTTTTTTTTTTTGTTGGTTTAGTCTCCTTCACGTTTTTTCGTTTTTGTTCTTGTATGACTTTTCAATCCCAAAAAGAACAGTTTTAATGCAGCCCTATAAGCATCATCCTACGCTAACAGTATCTGTTTTGGGCTTATATAATCTTTAGAACTGTGTATTCTAATGATATACAGTTAGTATCCGGTAGCGAGGCAGAGGGACTCAGTATTCAGGCAAGATAGACAGTGGAAAGTTTGAAAATGTTAAATTTAAAACCAGAATGGAATAGAAGCGGGCTTCTGTGGATTGCTGCTGATCTGTGGCGGCTGCAGGGGCATTAACCCATCACTGACACTCTGATTGAGAGAGAAACACATGTAAGTGACCACTATAATCTGATGGAAGATGATTATCCGTATGAGTCACTTACCTGGTCTAACAGTTCAGTCCATCCTCTCGGGTGTGGCAGGATCCAGCCGATGGACTGCCAAACTAGATGCAGCGCAGAGCCACGTAGAGTGTCCCTAGTGAGTAGCCCCAGTGAACAGGCAGAAGTGCGAGCCAGGTCAGGCAAACAGTTTAGAACAGGATGGTTCTTAGATCTAGGAGTCCGTAGCCCGGACAAGGGATCCAATAAGGGCAGGAACAGTCACATCCAGGGTTCCAGGAATCCACCAAGTACTCAGGCAGGTTCAGAGCTCCTTGAGTCTAACAGAGAGTTAAGGCAGACATGCTGGAATGCAGACTGGCAGACTCAGCAGTTGAGAGGTAGGGGCATGACACAACACCAGGAAAACTACGAACTTTAAACTGCTTCCCTCCAATGAGCCAAAAAAGGATCAGGGCATACTCAGAGGAGGACTGATAGCCTGATATTCATTAATCTTGTTACCCTTTAAGAAATTAACCTTTTTGTTTGTGCTTTTTATTTAAGTTGGTCCAATTCTAGTTGTGGAGCCCAGACCAGTGACAGTGGACGCAGACTCAGATGTCACTTTGAACTGCAAGTGGGCTGGAAACCCCCCACTTACTCTCACTTGGACTAAAAAGGGTTCCAGCATGGTAAGAACACAGATTGAGAAAAAAGAAACCTATTGATTTTTTTGCCCTATTTATGCAATAGAGGAAATTATTTTAGTTTAACATTTTTTTTATGAAATTAGTAAAGCCCCAATTTTTTCCACCAGTACCAAATCCCTTAAAATAAGGTAGACTTTTTCTGTCATACCCATTTTTTACTTGATTGGCATTTTAGAACCTTTCAATAGTCATCCATAATTGTATTTTTTCTCTTTTATTTTCTTTAGTAACAATTTCAAATGAGAAAGAGAAAACAGTATATATTTATATTGCTTCCACATACAGGGAACATGATGCTAAGGGAGGCGTTGAAAAGATCCTTAAAGCTTGCTGTTGAAGAACAGCAGTATAGAGAGGCATCTTAGGGCCAACAAGTCTCCATAGCACTAACCTATTTCACTGGTTTTTTAGGAAATTCCTTCCAGGGCTGCTAATAATTGTTGAACTTGTGAAAAGTGTTTTGCTTCAATGTGTATTAAAAAGGCAGATTTCTGATGTGTTTGCTCACCTAAAGGACTCTCTGTTGGTTCTGAGACTTCTAAATCTTTAATTCATGCCCCAACCATTTAAGAAAAGGCTCGGGGAAAAATCTAATGGAGCCTGCTGAGTAAATCAACATGTTTTATGAATTAAACATAGATCCCATCCTTCCATATCCTTTCCCTTTATCATTTGCTCTCTGAATATCTTTACATAACAACTGGCTATCCTGTTCTTTATGTATATTTGCCTGTATTTCCAGGTTCTGAGCAACAACAACCAGCTGCATTTGAAGGCAGTGAGCCAGGCTGATGCAGGACAGTATGTCTGCAAGGCCATCGTGCCACGCATTGGAGTTGGAGAGACCGAGGTTACGCTCACCGTCAACGGTCAGTTCATCTCTGATTATCCTCCTTTAATAACAATGCTGATGTTAGCAGAATCATGACGTGTGTAAAACAGATCTTCCCACACGGAGGGAAATTATGAATGTATGGCAATGTGTAAGTTACTTAAACTTTAATGTTTGTTTGTTTTAGACATGTAATTCTTAAGGCATTAGTTTTTGTAGGATTGTTTTGGTTATTTCTATTCCTGAATTAGCTTTTTAAGTTTTAAAATCTTATCCAAAAAAATATATATACTTTACAAATACCTCCCTACATATCAGTGACGATTTGTAAAACAGTAGAATTCCTAGCCATCCATCTTCTCCTGCCTCATCTTTTAGGCTTGTGTTGGAGCTGGTGCCTATCTCCAGCATTTTATGGGGAAAGGCGGTTTACACTGTGGACAGGTGGTCATCGCAGGGTAACACAGATCTAAGGAAAATATAGAAGAGCCACTTAAAGAGCCCTAAAAGTCATGTTTTGGACTTTGGGTGGAAGCCGGAGTACCCAGAGAAAACCCATGCTTGCACAGGGAGAACATGCAGAAAGACTCTGGACTAGGAACTGACCCAGGCCCTTCTTGCTGCAAGGCAACAGTTCTAATGTGCAGCCTTGCAGAATTTGTTAAAGATAAACATAGCCATCTAAGAGGTCCACCTGTAACATAAATAATACATTAGCACGTATGAAGATACATGATACAAGATCCAGAAACATACCTTCAATATTTAAAAGTATATCATGGTGGATTTAAACACCTGAAGAAATGCAAGGTCAAAACTTGAGTTTGACTTATTGATTTTAACGATGCAGGAATGGTAGAAAACATCAACTTTTTCAAATCACAGCCGCTAACATCTGAAAGAATTCTTTCTACCATGTTAAATATAAAATATACACTGACTATAACAACTTTTAGTAAAGTTTAATCTTTCAACGTTTTGACTCTTTACTACCATACAGTTCACACTCAGGACTCCATTGTGATTTAATGTGAAAGGCCACAGAGACATTACAATATAACTGATGTAAAAGAAGAATGACTCAAGCTATTTGAAAGCGTTAATAAATACTATTTTAAAAGGTTTGTAAAACAAAAATTGATCACTGACATTCAGGAATTCTTGCTACCTGACATGTTTGAGATCTAAAGTATTTCAAAAAAGAAGAGTGAACAAACAGATTGGCTCCTAGATATGCACCGCTTCAAATATGCATTATTTCTTTAAGAAGGTGATTTTAAGACACCAGATTTTCACTTTTGATTCAGCACTTAGAATCTACCTCTAGGTTTAATTGAAGGACCTTTTGGCAAAGTTTTTACATGATTCCTCTGTCCGATTCAGCTGCTCACATATGAAACAGCTCCTGACAACTGCAGGGATTAAATGGGCTGTAGGCAGTACTGATTTGGTCGAGGTTATGATAACCTTCCCTAATCTGTTCCTTCAAAAAACCTGATCCAAACTGACAAATATAGTAAATATTTCCCCTGATCTAATAATTCCAAAACCACTGTTCTAATGTTGTGGAAGGGTTAGCAATCTTTTTTTCCTGATTAAGCTTCTTTACATCTATTAAAGAATAATTCTCCAACTGGAATTTACCCAGAATACCATGATATCCGCATCCTTGATCGCATTTACTCAGCTGCATCGTCTAAAAGGACTTATTCATACTTCAGCAGAGGGAAGTCACTGCATATAATATCAGCTGTCCTGGAAAAACTAACAGTGTGCGACAGCTATTGCTGGGTCAAGACTTCAGTTGACACTTGGTTTAACACTGCCCTGCCACAGATACTCACGCCATGAACTTCAGATTTATATCTCAGCATCGCATTTCCTGCTGGTTTCACAGCTGCTTTACTGCTCTTATGTATCGAGCTTGATCGGAACATATCATGCTTTAATTATGCCCCCCCGCAGCAGCAGAGTCGCATCCTTGTAAGTTTTATTCAGCCTCGTTTCACCACAGAACAGGAGCCTCTGTCACACAGTTGCTGTGTTAACACTGTTTTATTCAGAGAGGCAGAGAGTGACAGTGCTGCTGATAGCAGATTCTACGTGACTTTGCTCAGAGTGTTGACAAACAGCAGCAATTTACACATTCCTGATTTAAAGGATTCCATATGTTGTTTTTTAATATTTTACTGAACAATAGTTCAGTTAAAACCTTTCAGAATTAGTTCCAAGTTTGGAGAAACAACAACAATTGTATACATGGTTGTTGTCTGATGAATACTGCTGTAAATGTTCATTAATTATCCCTCCTCAGGGAGCTCTCCGATATGATGCTGCCATGTTAACACCAACTGCCACATTTAAGAGATGTGAAATAACATAGGAATTTGTGATGTATTTAAAAATATTTCAGGTTGCTTGATAAGTGACAGCCATCTATTAAAAAAAAAAACATTGTACACCCTCCTTAACTGGAAAGGATCGCAGAAAATGTTTCAACTTGATGGGTTGAATAATCCCAGATGGACTGATGAGATGCATTTCCTGGAAAACAACAATTCTGTTCAATTGGATTGTAGCCCTTGTTGATATACAGTTCTTTGTTACTCCGACTGAGTAATCACTGGGAAAGGCCTCAGCCAAAAAGTGTCAGCTTATAAGATTTACTGAAGAGAGCTGTAGATGGAATCATTTTGATGGAATCATCTGGAGTCCTATTGCTGAAGGCTACTGAGATTGAGATTCAAAGTGAGGATTCTGTCTCAGGAGATCCATTTCCTGAGCAAAAGAAGGAAACCCCAGATGCTGCCTGTTGCCTTTGCTAAGTAATGTGGGGTGAATGACACAGAGATGGGGAAAAGGTAGGTAAGGATGAGGGAGGGCAGGGTGAGGTATGAGGGATTAGGGTTTAAATGTGCAGAAGGTGGAATGAATTTAAGAATAAAAGGGTTCACAGTCGAGAGTTAAAGATGACTTAATAAGCCTCTCATAATCGTGTCGCTGGCAACCCATTTTAAAGCGTTTATAACTAATAACTCAGAATGCATGTAAATTACACCATTAAATGTCTACCAATATAGACATATGAGACATTGTTAGATAGCTTAGATTTTCCACAATTCAACGACCAAGTTCATTTTATGGACACAGCGAGCACCAAAGCATAGTTAAAACAGATATAGCAGCATGTCAAAATGTAAACATGACAAAGGAAGCATGTCTTTATTACTGCTGTTCAAAAAAATACCTATTATTTTCGAGAATAAAAAAAACAACTTTGAGTCATGTTTGAACTGATATGTATATACTGATATCATATTGATATGATATGTTTGAATGTTTATATTCAGAAAACTAAAAGGTGGTTGTCAGGGTTTGGTTGAGGTTTTGAAGACCAAAATGCAGATGCGAGGAGGCAGTGGTGTGTGATTTTGAGGATTTGATTGAATAACTGAGGCAAAAATCCAAAAACCAAAGAACAAAATACATGGAACCAAAAAACCAGACAACTTAATGGGGAAAAACTCAATTGGGGAGCCAGTAAAGAGGAGGAACCAGCACTGAGGAACTGCAGAGGAAGAGTATATGGCCCTGTTCGAATTCATGGGTTGCGTCCTTAGAAGGCCAGATTCGAAGGACAATTACGTCACATTGCGGCGCCGATGTCTGGTCGGATTCCAAGACTTCCCGTTATGTGGCCTTAAAATGCGTCCTTCTTTTAGCCCGATTTGAAGGACAGGTCCGATGTATCCTTGCTATCCTTGGTTTACCCAGGATTCATTGTGAGACCAAGCAAGCTGTGATCAGAGGAATGGTTACTTGGTGCAGAACAGTGGTGAATATTGAAAGTTCAGTTTAATCTAATACGAGTATGTGAATAGTTGCGTCTGAGATTAATGAAAATAGTTGTTTTAATGGTTATTGAGTCAGATATATGGCGGTAATGTTTGGTTTATCTAAAGGTTTTAATCTGTTACTGTGTAAATGGGTTTGGCTGTAATTTAAGGACAGATGCTAATATATCTGCAGGGTGGGGACTATAAATCTGATAGGAGTTTAATTTTTTTATTGCTATTTTACACAATATTTTTAACTAAGTATTTTTTGTTGTTGAACATTAGAGATTTTGCAGATATATTTTTTATACATACATTGTTTAGATTTACTTATATATTTCTACCCCTTTTATAGAATAGAATAGAAAATCCCTTTATTGTCCCAAAATGGGCAAATTTACAGCAGAAGGAAGATAATTGAAAATGGTCACACAAATGTGGACCTTAGAAAAATGTAAAAGAATAACATAATAGGGAAGAGTTAAAATATAAACAATACAATACTGTAAAGTGTTTTAACAATACAAAACTGGAGAATAAATAACCAATATGCAGCTATGGACATTTTTACAGTAATGGATATTTGAAAATAGCAGCAACATCAGAGATGAGCAAAATAACAGCAGCAGGTTATTTAACTGACTAAGGTTTCTATCATTACATTTGATTTTATTTGTTCCTGCTCCCGGTGGTTGGAACCTTTATTCCACTCTGGATTCTTGTGAGTGTAGTCTTTGTTCACTTTACAATAAAAAATAAACAAACAGTTTTGAAAACTTCGGTATTCATTCTTTTCCTGCTTTGTGTGTCAACTATCAAGGTTGCAGAGCATACGGTGGTAAAACCTGCCGAAGGGTAGACCTGGTCGAACTCACAGCCAAAACTCTTCTGGTCTCCTTATTTTCACGGACTTCGAAGGATCCAGTCTAGGTAGACCGCGTCCTTGGAGTATGCAGCCCATGAATTCAAACAGAGCCTGTATGGGAGACTGAACAAAGACTGGACTAATGATGATTGGGAGCAGGTGTGAACAGAGGATTCTAGAAGGGAGCTAGGGAAAAGGAGACCAACACAAAAGGGCAAAAGAGGGCAACCAAGAAAAACTTAAGAGCTGAAATATATCCTGAAAACACAACAAAATAGGAATTAAACATGAATCAAAGTAAGACTGAATACTCAAAAGAAAACTTAAAAGAACCAAGATTGTGACATTGTTAGCTTTCAAATAATGTATCACACATGTAATTTGGGCTTAGAGTTCCAAAGTTATTTGCTTTTCTATTTGGGTATGCAAAATAGAAACGAGGTATGAAGAAGTAAGAGGTAGATAATTAGGGAGTTTTAAAGAATTGTTTGCCTGCTGTGAAAGATTTTCTTATATACATTCAGGTTTATTTAAGTTTATATTATTTTTTCTTTTGACATTTTTTCTTTTAAATTATTTGCATGTTAGAATGTGATTTAACTTTGAAATATCTCTAAGGTGTTTGGGTAATCTTCTCTGCCTTGTCATCTCTCTCCCAGGCCCCCCTATCATCTCCAGTGATCCAGTTCAGTACGCTGTCAGAGGTGAAAGAGGAGAGATCAAGTGTTACATTGCCAGCACCCCACCACCTGATAAGATTGTAAGTCCATCCTCCAAAGCTGTAATCTGCTCTAGAGTTTCTTGACCTCCCCTGATTGCATCTCACTCTCAGAGAATCCTGATCAAAGCTCCCGGTTCACCTGAGAGCACTTTCTCTCTTTAGCTTGTGTCACTCAGTCTAAAGGATAAGATAGAGGCGCCATTTTCTCAAGGAGTGTCGCTAATATGTGAGAACAAGGTGATCTTCCCCTGTAGACGAAGGTGGTACTCATGAAAGGAGCTCTTGGGGTTTTTGTTAGAAGTCAAAGAGGAAAGACAGGCCTCCTTCTGTGCAGATCATACCGAAGCCAGTGAACCTAATAGGATTAAAAGAAATCAAAGATACAGCTTCCAGAAATGTTTCATTTTTAAATGAGCGTTCAGCTCTAATGCCAAGAATTATCAAGTGAAGAAAATCATTTTAACATAAAATAATCTTGTCATCTAATTTGCAGCTTTGCAGTAATGATAGCCACTTTTCCCCATATCAGTCTTTCTGTTCTTTTCAGATTGGGCTGAAAGTAATGACCTCTACAGATGTAGTTGGTCATTTGGAACGCTTTTTAAGCAGTAACGCCTCAGTAACTGCCGCCGCAGCATTAAGGGAGGCTAAAGTAATTTAATTAATGGAAAACAGAATAGCTGCAGTAAGGACTAAATAGCACCAGGTGGCAAATGTGAGCAGTCATTATAAAACTGCTGTTTTGTCCACATTCATTAGAAAACAGAAGAACAATGTCAGTTCTATTAAATTCATTTAACCCTTTTTTAATTTAATATTTTATCAAAATGGTATTTATTATGGCAGAGTTTACATAAAAACTGAGTTTTACGGTTTGCCAAAGATTTATATGCAATAATAACAGTAGTGATGATTTAATGAGTTTATCCAGTTTGATCTAAAGACCTCATATTGGAGTCAGGTGTGTGGAAGTAGGGTCTCATCTAAAAGTAGCAGGACACGAGGCCTGGAGGGCTAGAGTTTGAGACCTTTGTTTTAAACATTAGTCTCAATATATGTCTTGGAGCTGGAAATGCAAATGGTTTGAATTAGTTTCTGAACCACCACAGCGCTTAACAGCAGTTCTAGAGAAATACAATCAAATTGAAATGAAAATAAAACAAAGATTTCTTTTCCTGTTGTACAGAATGTGTCAAAGTTTTTTTATTTTTTTTGGTCTCCAGAGACCAGTTTTTCTCTCACTAAAAAGAACAGAATCAACCGCCTTTTTTTAAACCATTACCAGAATCAACAATAAAGCAAATTGTATGGAAAACATGCAGAAAGAGACATCAAATCTAGCTTATGTATTAATTTTCCATCTGTTTTTGGGTTAAAGGAGGCCTATTCAGACGGTACAAGCTCAACACATGCCAAAGTGATCAAGGAGGAGAAGAAAATGATTTCCTTACAGAGAGTTCCAGATAAAACCTGATAAACCTGATAAAACTCTTCAAAACTTCATCATGTAGTTCTGACTGGTTCAGGAAGAAATATAACTTTGTTTTTTTCTTTTATCTGAATCTTTTTATGCACCTTTCTATAGGTTATATAGATAGGAAAGATAGAAACAATAATACTAGTTGTATACCTCAAATACAATAACAATTAGTCTTTTTTTTTTGCATAAATATTGAAAATCAGGTGCATGTTAATCAGGGTCTCAATTCCGCCTTGACATTCTCGCTTCTGTCTGTATAGCCTGAAATGTAACACTTCACTTTTTTCACTTCTTCCCCCTGTATCAATATCAACACCAGTTTTAACCTGTCTGTGGGTAACAAATGGCTCATATCTCAGAGAATCCAATGCAATTTACTCTGCTCTGCCAGACTTTTTGCTAAACGCATGCCTAGCATTTCAATTAAATGTAGGCAAACTGCATCAGCACAGGGTGGTGGCATTGGCTTGGTTGAGCCATTTTCAGATAAGAAATTTCATTATGTTCTGTTAGAATTAGATGGGTTTTTCTAGGTAAAGAGATTTTTAATTTGACTCAGAGCATTTAAAACATGCATTGGAAAGATATTTGTGTTTAAATAAATTAGATACATTATGACAACTTTAATTAATTAGTAATAAATGTATTTTACCTTCCTAACTATATTTTAAACTTCACTTAAACAGTTAAGAATTGAAACAGGATTCACTCAAAAAAAAAATGTTTGTTTGAATTATCTGAAAGAGGTCACTGACTCTGCTGACTTGACAGCCTCCGGCAGATGCTTTCAGAGTTTAAGAACTTTGATGCTTTGTCATCTCTCATCTTTGGCCGTTACTGTGGAAGGTTTTACAGGTCTTTGCCTGAGGACTGCAGTCCTCCTACAGCCTCACGGGTTACCAAAGGGTCAGATCCTTAAGCGGCTGATGACAGAAAATCAAGAAAGTCTAAAGTGTAATTCTGAAAATATTTGGAACATTTATGTAAAACATTGTAAAAAATTAAATAAAATCAGAGGAGTTAGGTTGACTTCACTCTTAGTATTCAGTAATATATATATATATATGTATATGTGTGTGTCACTGTGTTGGATTGGATTCTTCTAAAAAGCTACTGCTAAATGGTATGTCTAAAAGTACTGTAAAAGGTTAAATATATACAGGTGACACATATACAGACCTTGCAAAGTGTTTATTCAACCCGAGCTTTTATAGATGTGTTGAGAATTATTCTAGAAAAAGCCTGAGATGCCTTTAACCCTTTGAATCCTGGAACGTGAAATAATTGACTGAAAATCGAATGTTTTTTGAGTCTTCATTGAACTTTATGATGTATAAAAGATTGGAGAAAACATAAATTTAGTATGTTAAATTAGATTATTTTTGCATCTAATTTGATACTCTACACATGTGTAATCTGGTATACGTTTTCTGCCCACAGAGTCAGAGTTTTCAAGAACAAAAATATCCCACTGAAAATGATAAACAGTTTAATTTAACACTAAAAAGATACTCACATGCAGAGTGTTTACTTTTTCTGAGGTAACTTCTGTAAGCAAACAATTGAATTGGAGGTTATTTGGGGATCATCGAATTAAAGAGGATGGGTACAAATGTCAGCCTGACATTTTGGCTTTTTATGTAAAAAGAATATTACTGTATAAGTGACTAAGATTGGTTTTGTAAGATGAAAGAATGTGGAAGCATTAACATTTGCAAGGCTTGTGTTTCTTCTTTATTAAGATTGATTGTGATAATATCTAGAAGTGGCCTATGCAGAACATTATTCCACCGAAGCGATATTACATGTTTAATTTTGACATATCACACAAAGTTAGGCTTTATCATTTTTATGTTTGCGCTCATTAAAAACACGACAATGAGGACACAGACTTTCCAGAATTACTAATTTTCTCTTAAATCTTTCAGAAAATAGCAGTCTAAACTATTTTTCTTTCCATTTTTCTTGGAAAACAGTTGAAGCAATATTTGATAAAAATGCAATTTATTCTGAACTGAATGTTTCATAAGATACAGGCAGCATAATATGTTATTGACACCTTAGAGGGGAGAAATAGTGGAATAATCAACGCTGAAACTAGGAAGCAACAAAAGAGACAGAAATAAATCCATTATTTCATTTTGACGTCTAGAATGAGTGAGGAGGACCGTGGGGGAGCAATAAATTGAAATCAGAGCGAGATGGTTTGAGGGAGAGTAAAATTTTGTACCTTTCAGCGTCAATTATCCAATTGTGCAGTGCCAACATGACAGAAATCAGAGCTTTTAGAGCGATTCAGCCCCCTGCTGCACTGCCAGCGAGCCCAGAGCGTATAATGCGATACGACATTGTAGTCCAGGCTTAATGCGGAGACACGGGGGCTCATAAAATATGGAGTGCAGTGCTGTGTGCGCGCTTGTGCGCGTGTGCAATGAGGCAATGAAAGACTCAGAAACAGCCACACAAAAAAAAAAGAAAACAGACAGAAGCAATGCAACATAATTATTGTTAGAAGGAGAGATTTGGAGGAGTCGACTGCAGAGACAGACAAAAAAATGCATTATACAGAGTCTACTCTTATACAAGGACTGTCATACAAAAAATGAATCTTGGGACTGTCATGATTTGTTATTGAATGAGTCATCTATTTATTTTTTTTAATACCGTTTAAAACAGACATAAGCCAGAAATATGACTGGATGCATATTTGATATTGTAGTGTTCTATATTTAATAACCTCAAAATTCCACCTTGGCGCATTTTAAGTGGGAAAACCTGCTTGAGATTTTAACACCCATGTACACCTGCTGCTCTGTGTTATCTGCCTTCCTTCATAAGGAATTTATTACCACTCCAGTTTAGAATTTACAGCACAACATATGCATGTGTAATTAGCTCTTTTCTTAACCTTTATTAATGCGAAACAATCTTTTTTTTTTTTTTTTACAAAGTAAATGTTTATTTTTCACCATGTATTTCCAGATTGGAGATTTGTGTTGTTGTCACAGCTAAGATAAAGTGGAATTAGAAAATATTGATCCCTGAGGTTAAACTGCATCTGTGAAGAGTGGAGTGTTAATGGAAATTTAACATATCGGAGATTTGGCCTGGATCTAATTGATACAAATCTCCTGTCTCTTCAAAGGAGCTGTGTTAATTAGGTACCGACTTAGAAACCAGAGATTGTTTCTGTGTCCTTATTTGAATGGTTTGCTTTTCACAGGTCTGGGCGTGGAAGGAGAACGTGTGGGAGAAGGAAAAAGGCACTCTGATGGAGAGATACACTGTGGAGCAGAGCAAACCTCAGTCCCAGGGTGGGGCTGTCCTTTCCACATTGACTATCAACAATGTCATGGAGTCCGACTTCCACTCTCCATACAACTGCACTGCCTGGAACTCTTTTGGACCTGGAACCATGATCATTACACTCGAGGAGAAAGGTATGCTGGAACATACACAGTACAGTACTCACTTCATACCTATTTACATCCAAGCGTGGTAGGTGGGGGCCCTTAATTGGGCCCTTCAATTAATTCATGTCAAAGTCTATTTTAGTAATAGCAACAAGATTCCAAGACCCAAAATGGTTTAGTCTGCACTACAGCAACAAGTGTAAAGTTGGTGAGCTAGACTGAATGACTGTGGGCATTCAGGGAATTGGAAGAATGAAAAATGAAAGAAGGCAGAATGAAAGTCCAATTAAAGTTAACATAGTTGACTCCATGCGCAGCAGCTGCTTTAGCTGATGCTGTAAAGTAACAGTGAAATACCCACTGTAATACAGGTAAAGACTGGAAAACAAGGAGCTTGTGATTATTCCTCCTCCCTCTGGGTCAGACAGCCGCTTCAATTAATACCACTAGTCTCACCTGAGGAACCTACATATACAGCTCACCTTGGGTTCACTCCAACCTACTGAAATCCTGCTCTCCATGGCTCTGCTCTGATGTGCATAAAAATGCTCTTCTGTGTATTTTTTATGTATTTTGCTAAATTAAATTATAATTATTGCGAGGCAGATCCAATATGTTTTGTTTAAATATTGCACTATAGGAATAATTTGACTGCAGAAGGTATGTAGAGCCCTTAGTGTTGAAAATTAAATTGATCGAAAAGGAAACATTTCAATTTGGAAAAATTAGTTATGATGTTTCCCAATTTGGCAGTTTAGGATGGCCGTTGATGGGTAAAAAAATGTTTTTCTTAAGATTTATGGCCTAAGAGATCAATAGACTTTGGATCAAATTGGGCAAGATTTCGTATATCCAGGCGGTTTATGAACATTCTTTGGGCTGGAAAACGTGAGTCAGTGACATCTGGCACAGATGCGGTCTAGATGGAATAATGCCAGGGCCAAAAATCGTTCCCAGACTGAGCATGAATGAGGGACACAGTCGAAGGCCTTCTCCAGGTCCCCAAAACACACGTGGACCATTTGGACTGGTCTACTGTTCAACAGCCAGGATGAAAACCACATTGCTCCTTGACAATCGCCTTTCCAGCACTCTGGCATAGGCTTTCTCTGGGATGCTGAGAAGTTTGATCCATCTGAGGAACTAGTCTGACAGTGCAGGGGCACTGACCTCCTTTTGAAGATGTGTGTTGACCATGACATCCCAAAAACATCCATAGACCTGAGGTATTCCTTTCAGATCTCATCCACCTCCAAAGCCTTGCCACCACAGAGTTTTGTGGCCGCCTCAGTGACTTCAACTTGGGTGATGAATGTGTCTCAGAGCACCCTGTCTTTGATTCCACCAGTGTAGGCATGTAAGCTATGGTCATGAAATCTGGATCATGACTGAAAGAACGAGATCTCAGATACAAGTGACTGAAATTAGCTTTCTCAACAGGGTGACCTGGGATTCCCTTAGAGATTGATGGGGAATTGGTAATCTAAGAATGCTTTTCCTCCACATTGAGAGGAGTGAGCTGAGGTGGCTCAGACATCTGTTCCAGAGCCCCTCTGGATGCGTTTCTCGGGAGGTGTTCCAGGCACGTTCCACTGAGAGAATGCCTATTAGATAACAAAGGAGACCCTGGAGTTACTATGTCTATCGCCTGACCCTGAAGCACCTTTGCCTTCAGCCTTTCAGCTACAGTACTACTTATTCTCCTTCCTTATTATACCCAATGAAAATGAAAAAAATCTATCTTGACAAAGTTATCGTGCAACAGAACTGCAGCATCAATAAGTCACAACTTCAAGCAATATGGAGATGTGTACATCCCTTGCATATAGACCTCCAACTGCTGCATAGCTTCAGTGAATGTGGTTAATATGTGCCAAGAAAAACCACGATAGACTTGGACAAAATATGTTTTTTTTCCCTTTAGATTCAGTGTTTTTGGCCCATAAAGTGTAGTAATTGGTTTGCTGCTCTATTTAGTTGAGTAATGTATACAAATATATTATAAAAAGGTCAGTTTTATTTATTATAAAAAGGTCTAAGATTTATCAATCTTAGTGGTCTTTGTAGGACTCAGAGGATCTCACAGAGATTTGGCTTTTTTTGTTTATATCAATTAAACTGAAAACAACTTTAAAGTAGAGTAATAACTAAGAAACTGAGTCAAAATATCCTTTCTTTCATGTTGATCAATTTTAAAGTGTTAAATAACTTTATTGAGTAGGACCACTGAGTGGTGTTAGTCTTTTCTTTGGTGGCTGTTTAGTTATAAAATTTCTTGCATTATATTAGCGAAAATGGTTTCTTCTTGCTCAGTCAGTCTGATCCCTCCTTTATTCTCTGTGCCGCTGCATTCCACAGGCTTTAAAAAATCTACCAAAACATCTTTGAGAGAGAGACAGAGTTTGGATTTATTCTCGCATGTCCACTGAAAGCGTTTTCATCCCTTGTCTGACGAGCGCGCCTTATCATGCCATAACCAGCCCTCAGAGATCCAGCTTTGAGCGGAGAAACAAAAAGGATTTTCCCTAAAAACTGTGCAGCGTCCTCGTTAAATTTTTGTGCAGCAGCGAAGCCGCGGCTGTCCCTCAACCCCCCGACCCTTCTGCTTGTGTTCATTTCAGATATTGTTCCAGTGGGAATTATCGCTGGTGGTACAGTGGGCTCCTCCATTCTGCTACTCATGATTCTGCTGCCACTTGCCTTCTTCTTCTACCGCCAACGCAAAGGCAGTGAGTTGAACTGTTTTTTTTTATTTGTTTGTTTAAGGATATACACATTCTTAGCCTGCCTGTCACTCATTCTTTCATCCACAATCCTCTGCTCTCAATTTTCTGTTACACAAAGTTAATGGCATATGCCAGCCGCACAGCATTTTATTCAAATGAGATTAATGAATATTCATGCTTTATGGCAATCGGCCTTAAATCGCCCACTTTATGTTTTCATATCGCTTTTGCTGACAGTCAGTTGTTTGATATTCTCTTGCCACTTGCACATGCTGGATAAAGTAGCTTCATAAATGAGAGGTCTAAAAACAAAAAGGCTCTAAAAGTGAATGACATTTAAATCATACATTTTTATATGTGTTAGTTCTATAGCCAGCGGCAATCCAATTAGTTATTATGAACACATACCACGTCAAACCTTCGTCCCTTCGTCAAACCAGAGATCTAAAAGCCCTGTTGTGGCTTTCAGATGTTTAATTTTGAGCTGCTTTGCCGAAAATAAAGAAACAGGAAAAGACATTGAAGGTGACTGGCAGAGTCCCCAGGAGGATTTTCAAGGGATAAGAGTACATACTCTGGTTCAGAGCTGATAAACACAGCTACCGAAGAGATATCGTTCAGAAAGAGAAACTCAAACAAACATTGTTGTCCCTGCAGATAAACAGTCTCCTGTTGGTGTCTGCGATGTAGCACGTGACTTCACAGATGGAAATCTTTTCTTTTAAGGTTTTTGGCAGTGGGAGACAGTTGTTCCTATCGGCAAACACAGAGTGCTCAGTTGTAAAACTCTTGTAAAGCTGTTTATTTCAGTATGACAACATAATACTAAAACCAGGAAGGTTTTCCTTGTATATAAACATCATATGGTGTTTTAGTTGATCATCACTAAATGGGATTTATAAACATTGTAAAAACTGCTGATATATTTAATTTTCAGGTCTGTATTTGCATCCTCATTTTTTTTGTAGAGCTCCAGTCAGTTTGGTAATTTCTACCCACTTTTTATCTTCATGATTTGCCATTTCATCTGAATTTTCCTCCTTTACATACCAAGAAACAAACAATCCTATATCCATACACATATCTGTTTTTCCAGTTAAGGATTTCGATGAATTTTAAAATATGTCATGACACAAATGTACAAATATAATGTAGCGTTATTTTGTGTTGTATGATCTCTGAAATCTTTATATCTTACCAAATTGTGGAACTTGCTTATTTTTACAGGTCGCCGTGGTGTCACACTTGGTAAGCCAGACATCAAGGTAGAAACGGTCAACAAAGAGACCCATAGCTTGGAGGAGGAGGCAGCCAACGTCTCTACAGCAACTAGAATGGTCAAGGCCATGTACTCCGTAAGTAGACTCCCATATGAGTAACCGAGGGCGGTGGAGAGGAGGCGTACGGGTCAATGACCTTAAATGTACGAATACACTGACAATAATAGGGGCAGAACAGGAGGGGCACACATACACTTCAGGGAAAGAGTGAAAAAATAAATTGCTTTCCATGCTTTCAAAGATTACACCAAAAATACACTTTCTGTTGCAAAATAATTAACACCCCCTGAAGAGTATTTAATTTAGGTTAAGGAAAATCACATGTGAAAATATTAGTAATTTTTAAACCTCTTCATGTTTGTTTTACATGAGCAAAACTTAAATTATGTATGTCGATCATAAAGTAAGGCAAACCTGGTCTATTTAATTTCAATTCAGTTTATTTCAGATCATCTAGTCAAATTGATTCAAAGTTTTATATCTAAAGAAAAGCAGTTGATTGCATCGACTCATTAACTTGAATGGAATCCCTCATACTAAGCATGCTTGTAGCGACAGTGGAGAGGAAAAACTCCCTTTTAACAGGAAGAAACCTCCAGCCGAACCAGGCTCAGTGTGAGCGGCCATCTGCTGAGGCCGACTGGGGTTCAAGGAGACAGAAGCAGAGATACAGAAAGCAACTGTAAAAGGCAGCCCGGTCCAGGAAACACACAGCCAGGCAGATGGACTCTGAGCCAACTCCCAAGTCAGAGGATGAAGAGAGCACATGACACAGTCGGAGAAACAGGACTACACTGGAAAAACAGGCCAATCTACAACATCTATAAACAAAGGTGTTGATGGCAGCAGCAGAGCTGATATTTCTCTCCAGGATGGAGTCACAGCCACACAGGAACAGACAAAGCTACTATGTAGAAAAAGCAGAGAGAGCAGAACGTTAGAGATTAAAATATTAAAGTAGAAGAATAGAGATAGAATGGAGCAGAATGATGAAATGGGGTCCCTATGTCCTCCAGAAGTCTAAGCCTACAGCAGCATAACTATAGAGATAGCTCAGGATAACCTGAGCCACTCTAACTATAAGCTTTATCAAAAAGGAAAGTTTTAAGCCTAGCCTTAAAAGTAGACAGGGTGTCTGCCTCACAGACTTAAACTGGTAGCTGGTTCCACAGGAGAGGAGCCTGATAACTAAAATATCTGCCTCCCATTCTGCTTTTACAAATTCTAGGAACCACTAGTAAACATACAGATTGAGAGACAAGTGCTCTGTTAGGAACATAAGGAACAATCATATATCTGATATAAGATGGAGCTTGGTCATTTAAGGCCATTAAAAAAAAAAACATATAAATTTTACTACAACAAAATCTGAAACATTTTGATCAAGCCCTTTTAGGTAAATCATTAAAAACAAGTTTTGCCACTAATCACCCTGAAGAACATGTCTAACAGCTTTGCATATCTACAAACTGAAATATTGGAACATTCCTCCGAACAATTTTTGAAACTGAAGAGAAAAAGCCCCTCTTAAGCCATCCCACAGAACGTTTTTTTTTTTTTTTTTTTCGTTCAATCGAGTTCCAAAATTGGGCAATGTAAGATGCCTATACGTTGGAATAGCTATGCCAACATAATTCTGATGTTCCTTTTCTGGGAGAACGTACCTATTTCTTTGTGGATCTTTTCAAGTATTTTTTCCTGTGGTTTTGAATTCCACGCAAGTGGAAGGATTGTTGGTTGTATTTTTTCCTTTTTTAGTCATTTTTCATGATGCCTATCCATAGCAAACCTTGCTTATGAACATACCAACGACATAGCAATGACAGCTGAGTTTAAAAGGAGATGCCAAGTATGCAGAGTAGAAGCAAAGAGAAGAAAGAGGAGTGAGAAATTAAAGCCATCACCTCGATTAGTATGACAATATAAGATCCATAAGAAACAAGTTAGAAAAACTCCAAGCCTTGGCAAAGAACCAGATAGAATATTAGCAATGCAGTATTATGTTTCTTACTGAAGGTGTCCCTCTGCAAGGTTTTATGGTGAGAAGAGAGAGATTTAAAGAAGGCTTGAAAACTATACAGAGGTGAGTTAGAAGGGCTTGTGAACAAAAGGTGGTGTCATCCAGGACAGTGGATTTTATGAAGATTCTTCTCTGCAGCCCAGATATTGTACTGTTGGCAGTTAATTTGCATGCATATTAGTAGCCCTGAGTTTACCAGTGCTGTTTTGGAAACTGTTTACATTCCACCTTCTACTGTTGCACTTTCTGCTGTCGACAGTCAAATGCAAATCTCACCCTCCTTTGACTTAAAGCTTCAAATGTTTCATCTTCCACCTCTGCCATGGACACCCCTGCTTCTATGCATTATGGTGCTATGGTGCTTCTGCCTTTTATCTTTCTGTCACTAGAAGTCGGTAAAGAGGCTACTGGACAGATTGAATCATAATAAGTCTCCAGGTTCAGATGATGTCTACCCCAGAGCCATGAAGGCCTGTGTAGAGCAGCGCTGTGGGATTCTACAGCACCTTTTCAATCCCAGCTTGACCCTGGAAATAGTTACAGTGATTGTTCCAGTACCAAAGAGACTCAGCCAACAGTCCTCATAGAGTGTAGAACCGTTTCCCATGATATCCAACATCATGAGTAGTAGAGAGACTTCTGTTGGTTCACCTGATCAAGCAAACAAGCAGCTACCAGGACCCCTGCAATTTGTTTATTACTGTGGAGTTGGAGTTGATGATGCCAACATTCACCTGCTTCAACAAACCCACTGTCATTTAGACAAGGCATACAGCACTGTGAGGATTGTGTTCTTCGATTTCTCCAGTGTATTTAACATGTTTCAGCTTGACTTACTTTGTCGGTGCTTTCAGAGGACTCAGGTGGAGGCAATAAAAACCGCCTGGATCAAAGACTACCTGACAAACAGACCACAGTTTGTGAGACTAAGCAGTCAACTGTCTAATCAAGTAGTCACCAGCACAGGAGCATGACAGTAGATGGTAAAAGACAGACTATTGTCATCTGCAGAAATAATCTCAGGACTTACAGAATACTCTGTATTCTTTGGGTGCATCAGAGATGGAGTAGAAGCTGAGTATAGGGAGCTGGTGAATTGCTTTGTGGCATGGTGTGGAAACAATCTTTTGATTCTGAATATGAACAAAACAAGGGATGTGATTGTAGATTTCAGAAGAAAAATAATAAAGCTGAATCCTATTAATGATAGAGGATACTTCCTAAGGAAGCTTAGGTCGCCAGTGTTTGCAGCACGACGCTGCATATCTTCTATAACTCTATTGTGGAGACTGTGATATCTTTTTTCATTAAATTACATTCAGTTTATTTATATACAGTAGCAACAATTCAATCAGATCACAGTCAGATTGTGAACAAAACATTTTCTGTCTAAGGAAAACAACCTAATAGCATTTAGTCAAAGAGTTTTCAGGACAAGCTTGTCCTGGGTGAGGATGTGGCGGCAAGAACGAAATTTGCTTGCATTTTGTTGTTGAATCTATAGCGATCCTTCACATTGAGCATGCATCTAGTGACAGTGGAGAGGAAAAACTCCCTTTTAACAGGAAAAAAGCTTCCAGCAGATTTACATAGAGGAACACAGAGGCACTACGCAATATATACTTGGAATATTTGAAAAGGTAAAGATAAATTAGCTCAAAAAGTGCTTCTGTATAGCAAATAAACAGTTAAGCAGAAGAGCCCTGATCTAGTCTTCATTTCAAAGGATTACAGGAGAGCACAAGCAGTTAGTCACAGTAAAAGTTGAGCCAAAAGCTATGTCTAGGGTATAAACAGGAATATGCACTAAAAGACACGCATCAATATTTGAAGGTGTTGATGGCAGCAGCCTTTCCTCTCCAGGATGGTGTCACAGCCAAACAGGAACCAGATAAAACGATTGTACTGTGCAGTAGAAAAAAAACAAAGAGAACATAAAATGAGTTTAAAAAGCTCCACACATAAAGAAAGTTGTCTCTGTTCTAGGAACTCCTCTAGAAACTCCTCTACTTTCACAATGAAAAATTTGTCAAAAATTGGAGAACAGTGAGCATAATCTTCAGAACATTGTTAAACAACAATGTCTTGAGTCAAAGACTTCACCAGATTTGGTGCAACAGAGACCGACAGAGAAGATTTTTCTCGTCTACATCTGTTAATATCTACAAATTGTTGACAAAAAAGACAAGGAATTACAACATCAAATTTCCTTTGGAAATGAAAAAGTATTTTTGTCATGAGTTAAATTTTGATTTTGATCTGCCGTTTGAGTGGACAATTCTCCAGTTATAAATGAAGTACAGCTGGAAAGTGACATCTGTCCTAGTCTCAAATATTTTCCTGCTTTTAGAAGGGAAAATTTAGCCTTACACTGGGTGTAACTCCATCCACCTTTACGTGGCTATGACCAGCATCTCCGTCCAGGCTAAAGTAAAGCATCCCCACTGCATGACGCTGCCAAAATTATATTTTGTATTATGCTGGTGAAGATTCTCAGTCATCCAGGTCATAGCGAAACGTCTTCAAACATGGAAACAGTCTAGTGGATTGTTTTCTAACTTTTTTAGTATGTTTTGTGTTAGTCTTTTCTTCCTTGCAATAATAAATTTCTTCTTCATGCTTTTTCATAAAGGCCACATTTTGAGAAGTTGACCCAGAGAAGTGTCAACAGTCCCACCTTACACTCATCGGCCACTTTATTAGGTACCCCATGCTAGTAACGTGTTGGACCCCCTTTTGCCTTCAGAACTGCCTCAATTCTTGGTGGCATAGATTCAACAAGGTGCTGGAAGCATTCCTCAGGGAGTTTGGTCCATATTGACATGATGGCATCACACAGTTGCCGCAGATTTGTCGGCTGCACATCCATGATGCGAATCTCCCGTTCCACCACATCCCAAAGATGCTCTATTGGATTGAGATCTGGTGACTGTGGAGGCCATTTGAGTACAGTGAACTCATTGTCATGTTCAAGAAACCAGTCTGAGATGATTCCAGCTTTATGACATGGCGCATTATCCTGCTGAAAGTAGCCATCAGAAGTTGGGTACATTGTGGTCATAAAGGGATGGACATGGTCAGCAACAATACTCAGGTAGGCTGTGGCGTTGCAATGATGCTCAATTGGTACCAAGGGGCCCAAAGAGGGCCAAGAAAATATTCCCCACACCATGACACCACCACCACCAGCCTGAATCGTTGATACAAGGCAGGATGGATCCATGCTTTCATGTTGTAGACGCCAAATACTGAGCCTACCATCCGAATGTCGCAGCAGAAATCGAGACTCATCAGACCAGGCAACGTTTTTCCAATCTCTTATTGTCCAATTTCGATGAGCTTGTGCAAATTGTAGCCTCAGTTTCCTGTTCTTAGCTGAAAGGAGTGGCACCCGGTGTGGTCTTCTGCTGCTGCAGCCCATCTGCCTCAAAGTTCGACGTACTGTGCGTTCAGAGATTCTCTTCTTCCCACCTTGGTTGTAACGGGTGGTTATTTGAGTCACTGTTGCCCTTCGATCAGCTCGAACCAGTCTGGCCATTCTCCTCTGACCTCTGGCATCAACAAGGCATTTCCGCCCACAGAACTGCCGCTCACTGGATGTTTTTTCTTTTTCGGACCATTCTCTGTAAACCCTAGAGATGGTTGTGCGTGAAAATCCCAGTAGATCAGCAGTTTCTGAAATACTCAGACCAGCCCTTCTGGCACCAACAATCATGCCACGTTCAAAGTCACTCAAATCACCTTTCTTCAAACCAAGCATCAGTTCAAACTGATGCTTGGTTTGAACTGCAGGAGATTGTCTTGACCATGTCTACATGCCTAAATGCACTGAGTTGCCGCCATGTTATTGGCTGCTTAGAAATTAAGTGTTAACGAGCAGTTGGACAGGTGTACCTAATAAAGTGGCCGGTGAGTGTATTTGAGGATCTAAGCAGCTACTCCATTGCTAACTAGTGATTTAATAGTAGTATGTCAAAGGATAGATACATTAAAACTGATCAATTACTTCATTGTCATTTACTGACAGGGCCACTGTGAAATACTACTTTACAAGATATGCAAACAAAAAAAACAAAAAACAGGGATTCATCAACATAAATACAGCTGAAACCAGTGAAGCTCAGTTGAGAAAATAAAAGACAAACATGCACCTGTTCAATCAAACACTCACTTTGACATTTTGTTCATTTAAAAAAAACCATGGATGTCCCAGAGAATCTAATCGGCGGCGTCCCTTTGAGAGGGTTTCAAACTACCACTAACCGTTTCTCGTCTTTCTCTCTCTTGGGATTAAAAAGCTGAAACTCTGTTTTCCTCTTCCCTCCCTGTCGTCCTCCTTCTTTCCTTTCTTCACCCTCCCTCTTTCCGTGTGTGTTTTTTGTTGTTTGATGGTTTAGTTTTTGCCCTCTGTTTCCCTCTCTCCCTCCACTCAGCCGTTCAAAGACGACATGGACCTGAAGCAGGAGATCAGGAGCGAGAGCGACACGCGGGAGGAGTATGAGCTGAAGGTGAGATGAGTCAGCGAAGAGGTGATCATGTGCTGACACTGGAGGTTTTCAGGAAAACAATTATCTTCAGCATCTTTGGCATCATTTCCTGCATGTTGCATGAGCTCTGTGGTCAAGTTCATCTCCCAGTTCCTCTAAGGTCTTGTTATTCCTCAAGCACAGCATTTTAAAAAATGGTCGAAGGGTTCTTGTTTGCCAGAACAAAACTATTTTTATAAGACACTTTAAACTGTGCTGGGGAAAAAAATCCCCTCATCTCTGCAGAAATGTTCTTAAAATCGATCGTAAACATTTGAAGCCAGAAATGTTTCAGAGACCTTATGCTAAGCCATCGCATTTCTGTTGATATTCTTAACTAAAATAAACTCTATATGAATAGATGTTTATTTTTTCCCTATCAGGGAATAGAAGCATTTTAGGTAATTTTGCAAGCTAACAATCAAAAAAAGCTTTTGTCTCCAAAAGAGAGTGAAGATAAACATTCTGAGAAAAAATATATCTGGAGCACTGAGGGTCTTTAAATTGCATCAGTATAATAAGCATGGAAAAGTTACTTCTTTAAAATGATATTAAACCATTAAAAATGTTTTATTAAGTAAATTAAGAAATTTATTTATTTATTTATTTGCTATTAATAGAAATAAGTATAAAAAATGTATTCAATCTACTGTACATCATCTTTTTTCTACATCATGTTGTGAATATTTAGCAATCTCTTTAAAGAGCATTGTCACATTTTGTTACATCTTTTTTAAATTTATATGCCTGTAAATGACTCTGGTGGTACAAAAAAATTTTTCCTGAAAAATTCCCCTTTTCTGCTGCTATTATTTGTTATTTTTGTATTTTAACCCTTTGTTTTTGCTATATTACTGTGCATATACAGCTAATAGTGTGTGTGTATAAAGTAGCAACAGAGTTACAATGCTGCAAAGGGGGTAAAAAAGGAAGTACTGGAGCAAAAAACGTAGCAACTCCAAGCAAAATTTGGAAAATAGTGAAGAAAAGTCCAAGATCCTGTTTTAAAAAATGCAACAAATATTTGATTTTAAGAGGAATAAGCCCAAAAAAGTCTCAGGGTACAGTATAACGTCGGTTTTAATGAGACGGGAGCTAAAACTACAAACCAATTTTGATGTTGTTGTATAGTTAAGAAAAGTTTTGAAACTGTTTATTCATTATGGTTACAATTCACAATGTATGTCATCTCAAGGTACTTCACAGAGACAATTCAAGCAGAATATACAGTAAGATTGGTAAAAAGGTTCTATAAGGAAACCAGCTGACTATTTGATAGATGCATGAGTATATTTCAGTAGTGATACTGTAGCAATACTTTTCTTTGTCTCTACAGTCTATGTACAAGCAAAGTTATAAATAGATACATTTATTAAATAGAATAAAGAGAGGAGGGGAATCAATTTTCTGTCACAGCTGCGAAAATCCAAACGACTCAAGGTCAGATTAATTTCAGGGCTCATCAGCATTCATTCATTCTTTTTTGAATTATTTAATAAACTTATTTCTTATCTTGATGCTGTGTCTCTGGTTGCAGTTGTTAGGAACAGAATTTTCTTAACCCCAGGCTCACACCGACTCCGGTCTTACCGTTGCGGTGCGGTGGGTGCGGCGCCGCAGTGATTCCAAGTCAATAAAAAGACGTAAACCTCTCTCACCGGCTGCTGAGCTGTCCGGCTGCGGTTACCGAAACACTCCGGCGCTGCAGAAAATTCAGCAAGAAAGCTATCCTTGCGGCGTGCCGGAGCCCTCCGCAACAAGCTCTCGCAAATATCCTTATTTGGGCCGTGTTATCGCGTGAAGTTACGTGAACTCAAGTGAACTTCTGTTAAATCTCCGGACCTGTTGCCGGAGCCGCAGAGCCGCACCGCACCGTAGTCAAAAAGGCGGTGTGAGAGGGGGTGTGCGGGAGTTGCGGTCTCCGTCAGATCGGTAACCGCACTGGAGCCAGTGTGAGCAAGGGGTTACCCTTGATATCAAGATAAGAGCATCTGGGAAGGATTCACTAGCACTTAGAGTTGTTGGTTATTGGTTTATTTTATTAATATCAGATGGTCCTTGACCACTCTGAGCTTCTGCTTTGGTGCGAGGCATTGGAAGGCTGTCGGGCTCTATTAAGTAGCTTCAACAGTTTTCTCCATCTGGCATTTTGACAGTTCTACTGTATACCTGCTCATCACACCTGAGGCTGGAATTCTATTTAGGCCCAAATCTAAACACTATCAGGATGGACGCTTTTTTGGTCTTTTTTGTATATATAACTTGACTATAGCTTGACTATCTTTAAGCAAGACATTCATACAAATATCTCCGATACAGAAAATTCTGCAAGTTTTAAATTATTCAAATTTGCTATTTTAAAACATTGGGTTTTTTGCTGTTTTTATTTTTCATTTTTATTCTTAACACTTGACAGTTGTCAATTCAAAGCCCTGATTGGATATAATTGAATCTAATCAGCCATATACGGTATGTGATTGAAAACAGTAGTTTTAAAGAGCAGTAAAGATGCACCTTTTTTCAGGAGAACATGGTCTACATCTGTATGGTGATTGTGTCGCCACTTTACTCACACACCAATGAAGATCGTGATGCTGTGGTTTTTCTTATCAAATTTTCATGACTGTCCTTGCTGGAGTTCATGCAGGAGAGACTAATATGCTTTTACCTAATGCCTTAACTCTATCAAGAAAGTTGCTATAATCTTGTTTCAACACACCATCATAAGCATTGATTTCCACCTAGTGGCTCTATGAAGCTTGAAGGCAAAGCTTACCATGGAAAATTATGACCTTAAATTGCTACAAATAAATATCAACAGAAGAAACGTGAATAGAGCCCTGCCAGTGGCAGGTTTTGTCATTAAACAGCACAAATTTTCAACACAATTTTGTTTTATTTAAATCTAAAAAGGTTAAAGTGCATTTGTGTACAGGCCCTTTAAATAGATACCCCAAAATATAATCCATGACAACTTAATACTTTCTAAAGTTACCTCAATAATTGTTTGCATTTAATTCAAGGGTTTGAATTATACACAGTTTAACATTTTGGTAGCTGTTTAGAAGAATCTGCCATTATTGTGTATGACTGATATCCATAACAATGTCATGGTTGTATAATTTTTGTGCTCATGAATCAGAGGTTCTAGTTAAAGAGTGAGAAGATTCTGGTGGCAGCAGTGCCACAGTTTTAGTTTTACTGCTGTTATGACTAGTCTAAATGGGCTGCAAGAATGTAATGGTAAGGCATTCTGGAGAGTGTCACAAAAGCATAGTGTAGAGATAAGACATAAGCAGGTATTGTCTTGAGGCTGTACAGAATTTCCCAGGAATCCATGCACTGTTTGCTGCATTGCACATAAATTGTAACAAATCTGTGCTTGACATGAAATAGCAACACATCATCTTCATAAAAAAAAACATTCATTCTACAATGGGAACGAGCTAAACCTGAAATATATGACAGTGTATTTGATAAGACATGTGTTTCTATGAATACATTTCTGAAGCTTTATTGATTTTTTGCTAAACAAATCTTTTTCTGTCTAACCACAGGATCCAACTAATGGCTACTATAACGTCCGAGCTACCACCCATGATGAGGCGCGACCCCAGTCCCGTGTTGTCCACTACCAGGGAGAGTTTCGCCCCCCGAATCCTAATACCGGACCAGGTGGAGCCACTTCGAGCGGTCCTTCTGCTGTAGCCAGTGGTGCAGTTCCTCCCAGCGCGGTGCCTGGCTCAAGAGCTGGCTGCTATGACCCTCGTCCACCCTCCAGGATGTCCCATGCTACATATGCCCAGTTTAACACCTTCTCCAGGGCAGCCCAGAGGCAGGATGTTCCTCCAAATCCTGCTCTTCCATCACCAGGAGATTTCTCTGGAGGAGACTGTGGCCTACTGGACAATACAACCCAACTACCATATGACAGCTATGGATTTCCCTCCCAATATCCAAGCTACCGTGTTGGCTTTGCTCCTACAATAGAGGAAGGGCCTGCCTATGAGATGTATCAAACAGGACAGGGGAGCGGTTCAGGGCCAGGAACAGGACAGCAAAGTCCTGAAACAGGCTTGGCAAAGTACGGGAGTTCTACTCGCTTCTCGTACTCATCCCCACCCTCTGACTATTCCCAAAGACACACACAACGAATGCAGACTCATGTGTGAGGAAAACATAAACATACTTCTTGAATTTATGCTTTCAACACTATTACACAACCTGTATAAATCCTAACATGCTGTTTGTGAATCTGAGAGAATCTGTTTTCCTTTTTCATGGCAATCACTGCATGGATACCTGTTTTTTACACTATTACAATAGCCAACATTTAGGAGCATTATGTACGACACAGAAAGAAGCAATGCTTCTTTATGTTAAATCAGGCAGGCTTCCGTTCTGTAATCATCTAAAGCAAAAGCGGAATGCGGAGAAAAGAAGAGAAGAGCACTTTGCCAACTTGACTTGGAGGCGGGTCAACCCTTGACCAGCGTTTAGACCACCCCCAGTCTCACAGTCCTCCCAAACCCTCCCATCTCTGTACATAATGTTACATTTGGGTCATTTTAAGATTATATTTCTTGTATAAAGCTATAAACAGCAAACCTCTAAGTAAAACACACATTTTTTCATTTTCTGACTTACATTGCTAATCACACAAACCCAGACATACAACCCCATGTCTGCAAAAAGAATGCAGCAAAGGGGCAGCTTGGACTATAGACATAGGTGGCGCTTGTCACTGAAACTTGCATAATGGCTTTTAATTACAAGATCTACCTTGATTTAAGTGGGACAGTTGTTTGGTGTGATCAGGTGCCACTTCTTATGTGCCAACACACAAGAAAACATGGTGTCTTCTGTTTATTTCACAGCGTGGACAATGAGGTGCTCCGGGTAACAGGATAATACAAGACAAAGGAGCAGTAGCAAGCGTCTCTTTGCTCAAAATCGTATTGTGTCTCTGTCTTCATCACCCATATCTATACCTAATATTTCACCTGATGTCAGACCTATAGGAAGTGTTGTGAAACAATGTGTGGCGGGAGCGCCTTCTCATTCTATACATTTCTGCAATTTGTGCAAAAAGATACCTCCCCTACCCTAAAGTGTTCAAATGTACTTGTTTTTCTCACTTGCACAGTAGGATAGACTTTTTTTCCATATTTATACTAAAGCGTATAAAAAAATGCATTCAGAAACATTTTATAATATTTTTATAAGGAGTTGTGGACCAAAGGTTCAGCATTTTGGGGGACACTCACTTTTCGATGTGTAATGCGGTGTTAACGTTCGGAAGAGATCCGAGTTCCTTTAAAATGAAGTGGTTTTTAATGTTGTAGGCTTAAAATAGAAAACTTAAAGAGATTCACCTCAAAATAACAAATATCTAGCAGGACAGGTTACCTGCTATGGATATATTTGTTTGGTGTGAAACTCTTTCTTTGACTTCCTGTCTTCTGACTGGACTGCCTTTTTTCTAAAGCTGGTGACGACATTCTAATTGAAAGGCCTGGAAAGAGCAGCTGCTCTATCGGAGCAGTTCTGTTAACTTTGGAAGCAACCAGAAGGTTTAAATGTGGTTTAACATATCAAAGTGAGGGGAAGAGGGTTCTATCTAGCTCATATGGATTTTTTTACTATTTGTAAGTACGCAAATTTTCTCTCCACAATATCAAATTTGCTGGTGTTTGTTTTTTCATTGTGTTTTGTCAGGTCTTAGTGTGTGTGGCCAGCCTTTAAAAGCAGGTATTGGAAACTTGAAAATCTGGGGGAAGTAGAAAATGCAAGTACCTCCTCCTCCCCTTACTGCTCAGCTTTGCTCTTAAACGATTTTCAGTATGGATAGCTGTTGTGTTTAAAGCTCCCGTATTATTCTACATTTTGAAAAGAAAAGATATTAACAATAAAGCCCTCAGAGCATGTGTTACACAGGAACATTTCTCTCAGATTAGGCATTCACCCTTTCCCAAAAACCTCCTTATTCAGCTCTCCTCTGGACAATACAACATATAGCTCCATCTATAGTTAGAAACCCCTGATACAGATATGTAGAAAGCCTGAACAATAAGGCCATCTTCTATTGCTTTGGTTATCTAGGCTTAAGAAAATGTAAGAATGTCCACTGATTAATTTGAGTACATTTTATTCCTTAAAGAAAACTAATATAGGCAAAGTAATAATTTTGTTCAAAAATCATCAGTATTTCTTGCTTCTCCTCATTTAACCTCCTTGGTGAGTCACTTTTGATCCTTTGACCATATTTTTGTATCAATATGTTGCTAAAAGATTCAGTTTTGGTGGATTGTTCAGAACATCATGGAATTCCACAGTTCCTGATGCCATGCAATCTTACAGATGCATATTGCCTTTACCTAGAAATTGGTCTGTTTTTCTGAATCAACAAGATAATGCTGCTGTGATTTCATAGTGGGTGTTTTGTTATTGTTGGCACTGCATATTTCTAAGGCTTTCCTTTAAAGAAGCTTCAACATGTCCCATTTGTGGAGTTTAATTCTTTTTTTTCCTTTCTTTTGGGACTCAGACACTAGGAAATTATCCTGTCTCTCAGTTATGTACTGTAGATAGAATCAGTATTAGTTTGTTGAATTTGTGAAGACCCCTCTACGCTGGTCGTTTCCCCTCTTCTCCTCTAAGTTTATCTTGTAAATTCAGAAAAACAAATTATTTTTGTTGATTTTTTTAGAATCCAATACATTTCTGTAAACTCCAAATCAGCTCCAACAGCCTTAACATAAACACTTTTACAGCATCAGAGAAGTCCTACCGTATTTTAAAAAATTAATGAGTAGTTTTTTTTCTATATCTAAGTCAGAACCATGCAAAGCTGGTTATCGACACACTTGGTCTAATGCAACCAAAATACTAATAGTCGTAGTGCTATTTTCATAAACCTCAGTGCAAACTTTGCATTTTTAAATTTGGAGAGGGAACAGAAACATGTTTTTCTTGCATGGCTCTGAAACAATAAGGTGGAGTTTAGAGCCTTTGATAAATGTATTGCGACCCTTGGATTTTTTTCCTTCTGTAATGATCTTGGCACTGATTCTGCGCTGATCTCTCCGTCCATACATCTGCTCTGCTCAACCCGTCCGCAATCAGCTCTGAACGGCTTCACCTGTTTCCATCACTATATAATCCCCATCAGACCATTCCTCAGTACCAGATTATACCATACCAACCCGGTAAACTTAATCCAGCGTAATCTAAGTTATCTGTCCGCCCACCAGTTTATTGACCTGTTCTGCACCCTGATACCGAGCCTGCCTGATTCCATTCGTCCTGGATATCCTCTCAGTTCCGCCTCTGAATCTCTGGATCTGTCAAACCCGGACTGCCTGTGCTCCTCTCTCGACCACAAACCTGGGAAGCCTCGCAAAACTGCCTCTCTTCTTCCCTCTGGCTCACGAATCGGTCTACCTGCTGATCCCCTGCCGCCTCCCTGCTTCTCTCAAACTCAGCACCGCTCACCAAACAGGCCTCTTAATAAACTGTGTTCAAACGTCACCTACCTGTCTTGGTCGTATTTGGGTAAAGACTCTGTTTCTTAGAGTTTATTAAGAAGCATGTCTGATGGGGATTATATAGTGATTGAAACAGGTGAAGCTAGTCAGAGCTGATTTTGGACGGGTGGAGCAGAGCAGATGTATGGACTGAGTGATCAGCCCAGAATCAGTGCAGAGGTCATTACACCTTGATTTCTAGAAGAGAATCCTTCAGATTTTTTTTTTTTTTTACATCCCCCAATATCCGCTGTTTATTTCACTATTATTGTCCATGTTGGCAAGATAAACTTGGTTCTTTAACCAACATTGCAACAATATTCAGTTATTCCAATAGTCAGTTATAGTCAGAACACTTAGAGCAACTGACGTTGGTCTAAATGTTCTAGATATGGGTGGTTTTAGATGAGTAACCAATTCTCAAGTTATGAATTTTAAGATAGAATATCTGGCAGTCATAAATAGCATGTTTTTGCTTCTCTATCCCATTTTGATGAGTCTACCTGAAGTTTGCTTTTGTGTCATAACATATTTATGCTCTAAGGCAAGGGTCTCAAACTGGTTCCAGAAAGGGTTGTGTGGCTGCAGGTTTTCTTTCCAACCATGCAATAGCACACCACACTCCAGTCATCTCATCAAGTTAGTTCAGCATTAACATGATGACATGATGATTGACTGGCATCTGGTGTGCTATTGCTTGGTTGGAAAGAAAACCTGCAGCCACACGGCCTTTTCTGGAACCAGTTTGATACCCCTGCTCTAAGGTTAAGAAAAGAAAGTATTGATTTTGTACTTAAAAGATCCCAGACACCATTAAAAAAGGATTCAGCTCCAGTTTTTATGTAGAAATTCTCCTGGTAAAAGTCACAAAGTCCTGCAACATATCTTTTTGTTTTTCTAAATAATCATCTCTTAATATGGGATTATTTTCCCATCTATAATATACTCATATTCAAGGGGGGTTTTTGTTTATTACCCAAGTTTCAAAACAGCGGATCTCCAGATTGATATTTTCATAAACTTTGGAGCAGTTTTAATTTTCTCTCCCACAAATTAAGGTATTTCTAGTCACTAAGTTTGGATTCTACTCCGATGTGCAATATTGGAGCGTTTAAAGTTTTTGTCTCTAAATAAATCAAAAACAAATTATTTTGCCATAAAGCCCACACAGTGGATTGAAATACTTTGTTTGTACTTTGTGCTTAATGAGATTCAATTACATTGCTCTCTTCAACTCAATACAAACTTAAAACTTCATACTTTGCTGTTCCATGAAAATGTTTATTAAAATTCATGGAAAGTGTGTCAGTAATAATGACCTATAAGCTTCCAAGAGCTTAAAATAGCTTCCCCCCCTGAAGAACATTAAGACAATGAACATTTATTTTCCATCCTGCAATACTAGACTCTATTTTTCATTTAATACCTTTTCTTAACTTTCCATCCTGCATGCTTCACTGCAGATAAATTTAAAAGGAGCAGAAAGCAATAAGGAGTCACTCACTTGTATCTGTATTCTACATTTTGGAGCAGTTGAAAATGATTGTGCATTAAATAAGACCTCTGGCTGCAGAGGCTATCAGCCACTCCAGAAGTAATCATTGGCTCTTAATATTTATCAGCTGCCCCATCAACCCTTCATGGTATATTATGGTAATTGTCTGCAGAGGGGCTATAAAATGTGTTTATTACTCTTGTTTTCTATAAACAGAAAAAACCCCACAGCCGTGTCGTTATGTATAACAGAGGCAACCTTGTAGCTCTAAGGTCAAGATGTAAACCATTTCAGCTGGGGTAGGATGTGAGGTGGAGCTGTGTTTTACATTTTGAATGGCTAGAGCATCTGCAGTACTGCACACTATAATCTATTGACAACCCTTTTACAGAGTTATTACTGAGCAGTATTAGGCATCTGACTTGCAGTCTTGTTACAGCCTTGTAGAAAGGTGAGGGAATTTGAAAGAGAAAGCAGTGAAGGAGTGAAACACATAGCCAGGTACTAAGTTAATACCTCTGGTTGAATTCTGCTTACGTTAGTGTTTATTTAATTTGTTAAACACACATGGCAGACGCTAAGGGGGAAAAAAACTACAGATGCGTCTTGATAAATTAAAATGATACTGAACCTCGTTTGTAGCTGTTTAGAAGGAAATATGGAAATGTTTACCTCATTAAGATGTTATTCTGCAATGTGTGATGGCATTTTGTTTCAAACTTGTTACCATACGTCAAATTAAAAAGCCATCTGCCAGCTTCCGTATATTAAAATCAAAACTGCCTTCATGAAAAAAGAAATCATTAAGATATTGCAAATCTTTCTTTTGCTGGTTTTTTTTTTGTTTGTTTCCAAATTCCCATCATATATTAACACTATAATGGAGATTAGTGCGAGTATGTCTTTTTAGCTTGCTTAAATTTCTGGTGTCGTTTTTATAGAATATATAAATATTCATGAGTTCAAGTATCTACTTTCAACACTTTTCTCTGTATTATTTCATTTTAACCAAGTATTTTGTAAGTTTTTTTGCATTCCTTTGTGGTGTTATATCAATGGTCAAAGGACTAAAGTGTCTTTAGAACGCTTTCACTGGTTCTGATCTACTTTATCAATCTCATGAACAAAAAAAGTTGGGTATTAAACATCTGTGACCCAAACAACTTGTCGGTCATGCTACAAATAGCCTAAACTGAGTCTCAACTAGGCCAACCTGGTCTAGAAGCTGGCCAGCCTCACGCTGGGTTGGCCCAGAGTGTCTACAGTGTCTTTACATCCAGTTTTACTGTGTTGAACCTTTTAGTGAGTGCCAAAAAAGAAAAAAAATGAACTGAGCAAACAAAATGCAGCAGCAGTTTGTATTAATTGTGACTCTACGCTCATGTGTGACTGTGTGGATGAGTGTGTGTTCATAAACACACGTGTTTTTAATATTCGGCTTCATAAATGCATGTGTGTTGGAGAGAAGAAATTAGGGTTTGACTGATAACTTTATAACTCTGCTGGTCACACCTGCTGGTATGAAGGAGATCCTTCCTGACCGCAGCCACAAAGAGCCTGAAAATGCAGATTTCACTCTTCAATATCATTTCGAATGGCAAAGATGTTTTAGTGAAAAGCCAGGTTGGTCCAGGTACACTTAATTCTATGTTTTTAAATATGTCAAACCATATTTATAAAGTAATTGTTTATTCCTGTGATAAATGTTAAGAAATTTAGATTCAGATACCTCCTTAGCGTACTACATTTCTGCCTTAAATCTCTTTGGCATATGTAATAAAAGCATATTACAGGTTTTAAAAAAACGTAACCCTCCAAATGAATCTTTGAATTAATCTGATACTGTAGCAAGCATAAAATAATCTTAAATAACGTCAGGCTGCCATAAACATTTTAGAACATGGCTGAAAATGTTTCCATTTAATCATCACAATGGAAAAATGCAATTGTATACGCGACTGTAGTGCTATGCAAATACCGTATTACCAAATGAAAAAGCCCTCCTGTGCTGTTGTTGTCTGCACTATCTCTGATTAACTTGGTAGTGATTAGACCTCTTTGGCCTCTCATTTTCATGCATACATTGAACTTAAAGCCTATGATGACCTTGCAAATGTAATTTTCATAAAACAAAATAAATGTGATTTGTTAAGGATGCAAGCAAGGCATAATATAGTTCTCTGAAAAGCTTAAAGGCAAATCCTTTTGACACATTTTCATGCTTAGTGAATTACCTGAAAGTGCTCTTGTAGAAGGTGCACGCTTCCATCTGTATATCTACGTACATTAGACATGTTATGTTATTTATTTATTGGCTTTTTTCAAATCAGGAAAAAGCCAAATTACAATATAAATTCATTAAAAAAACAACAAAAAAACAATCATGATTAGTTTTGATACTGTTTGTCAGTCAAACCCTAGTTAAATGTTGGACAGATGTTGGGGGAGGTATCATATGGCCTTAGATCATTTGTGAGGAACCGAAACAATAAGCTTGTCACTCTAACTGCAGAGCCTGTCTGTTCTGCATGAGGGAACAGGATGAATTTCTGTTTGATGCCATTGAGCGTCTGATGATCACTACAGTGGGGAGAAATCCACGTTGCACTTAAAAATGTGAAGTTGTGGCGAGGATCATTATGAGGCAGATAATGAGTGAGTTCACTCAGTCGTATATAATCTTCATTCTCGAGTTCTTAATTTGTATCTCTGTATATTGTTCACATGTGTACTAAGTTCTTGTTCAGTATTAGTATATTGTTTTTTGTTAAGATGGAATCTGTAAAAACAAGCAGTAAAAATACTGGCATATTGTTTTTCTCTCACATTTCCAGTCACGACTTTGTTAAAATTCAATGTAATTATTTTTTCACAATATAAAAGAAAATAAAAGATGACACAGTTTCATAATAAGGTTGCAAAAGTCCTTTATTGAGTATGGAAGTGTTTAAATAATGTTGCCAATTCAGAATTTTTAAGTTTGGAAGGTTTATTTTCATTTAATTGAATTTACATTTTTTAGCTTACTTGATGTGGGATCCAAAGATATAAAGTCAAAATGAACTTGATAAATGTCTTTTACAATGTCTGTTACCCTAACCATAAGATTCTAGTAAATTGCCCACGCCAATTATGAATCCTTTATTTAAACAGATTTAACAGCAACAGAATACTAGACGTCATTTAGCAATTTCTGTTGCCATTTCCTTCCATCTCCTCTATAGAGAACATATTCTCATTATCAGTTCGTATGAAATCCTACGAAAAGTTATGCACAGTATTTCGTACGTTTTGGACGTTTTTCCTCGAAAAAACAGATCAGTGC